CTTGCCCGGGAAGAGTGCAATGATGGTGCCAACTTGGGCCAGTGAAGCAATGCCCTCCACAACTAGACTGAAGAACAAAACGACAGCAACTTGTCTGTTCCCCTTCCCCCAATTTCCCAGCGCTGTTCCCATCCCCCCAATTCCCCAATAAAAATCTTTAAAACAAACAAACAAAACAAAAAGAAATACTATGGTAGAAGGAAGCACACAGCCTGCGGATACAGGAGGAGGGAGTGCCGGTCAGTTCTACTGGAGGGTCTAAGGAAGCAGGTAAAACATCCTGAACCTAACTGAGGAAGCGATGCCAGGTGGAGAACGGATGGGAAGTGAGGACGAGAAGGCATCCTGGGCAAAGGGACTAGCCTATTCCAGTGTGAGTCTGCGTGGAGGACGACGAAGCCTTCGTCCCTGTCTGTCGTTGCATGAAGCCAGGCATGGCCCCGCCTTCGGAGGGAACTCCAGGGTCCTGCCTTCATATGGCCCATCCTTACCCAGAAATAACCCCTAAGCCTGGCCCTGGGTTCTCTTAGTCTTAAAAGTTTACTTCACAGCAGAGAGGGAACAGGGTTACACCAAAAAGTAAGTGTAGGTCTCGAGTCAGATCTATAGTATTTCCTATAATAGTTCTACAATCTATTTGTATAATTGTCATGCTGTTTGGCCCAGTTTTCCAGGAGTGGGAGTGATGTGTGTTTCTTGTTGCCTAATTTACTCACCTCGCTCCCTGAAATACTCAGTGTACCTTCCTTACTGTTGCCAGAGTTGACAACAGGTGTTCCCTATTACTCAGACGGAGACAGACGTAAATTGATGTTTACTGAGCACTTACTAGATGTCAGACACAGTGCAGAGCCTTTGAGGTTATTTCATTTTTTTCTCACAGACTTTGAGGTATACAGTACAATACCCCTTGTAGAGGTATGTGATTCTCATAGTGTGCAGTACTTCCCACTCAGGAGTGTTCTAGAAATGTGTCAGAGTGTTTTTGTTGTGGCAACTGCAGGGCCCTAGCAGCATGTAATGGGCAGAGGCAGGCATGCGACAATGGATGTCCTGCAATGCATTCTGGGACAGTCCTGCCCAACAAAAAATTGTCCTGCATCCAGTGCCATGTTCAAATGTCACACTGGACATTTATGTTGGTGGGAAACTCGTTTATAAACACCTGATGCTAAAGCAAATCTCATGTACATCTAAACACAAAGTACAGCAAGACCTCACCTAGCATCATCGATAGGTTCTGCAACTTTTAGGGAAATAACATGTACTGAAACCAATGTTACCCACCGGCAAATTGATATACACAAGAGTTAAGTTCCTATGGCATTGCATTAACATTACAATGAAAAGACGTTGAACGAAACACGGTTGAGGACCTGCTGTACTTTTTCTTCAGGAAACTACACCTGTACTGTCGGTGTCCTGTGAGACCATCTGTTCCGAGACGTTCCTCCATCCTTCCCCAGCATGTGATGGGCCTGTGACCCACACCAGTCCACTTAGACTCAATCTTCGAGGAATTCCTAGCTTGAGCAGAGTGATACATAAAATGGAGGCAGTTGTCATGAAGGAACTTTAATTGCCGTGTCCTAAAGAGGGGGTTGCATGGGTTCTAACTACCTCGATCCCCGTGTCACCCTCATTCCTATCTTTCTCAGAACCTGGTGGGTTCATTTTACTTTGATCCTAGCCAATATCTATCGGATGCAGTCATTTTTTGCTAAAGTTTTCCAGAGTTGGATTCTGTTGTTTGCAATGCAAGACGCCTGACTGATGCAGCAATTGGAACTAGAGTGGAGTCACAGCAACATGTCCTCCAGGAAATGGGGATATTAAAAATGATTGAGCTGTCACGAGGCAAGACACAGCAAGGCTGCTGTTCCTCTGGCCTGGGACGCAGAGGTCGAGGGCTACTTCCTGCGTTACCACCAAGGAAGTGGGTCTTAGAGGAGGGGTAGTTTCTGTCACAGTCTAATCTTAAGGCGGTGAGGAATGCCAAGGCTGCGGGGTAGGATGTCTTATTTCTAACTGCACAGAATAACATAAAGAGAAAGTCAACAAAGTGAGCCCAAATATAATTGGGGTGGGGGGCGGGTGCCCAGAATGAAACGGAGGGCATTTCTCTGACCATGGTGAAAGCATCTCTTACGACGTGCAGTAGGGCTAAGATCTCCAAAACCAAAGATGGCAGTTGATTAGGCAGGTTGCTGCGTTCACAGCCCTGCTACACTTTGATGGAGTCAGGCATCGACAGAAAGCGTGGGAGTACGACCAGTGGAATGGCTCAATAAGAGGACGTGGGGAAAATCCAAGGCAATCTAAAACACTGGGTGGAACCAGCCCTCCTCACCAGAGAAAGCGCCCACGTGCCCACTGGCCCCACCCCTCAAGGCTGCTGAGCTGGAAGATGCGGGTCAGTTTTGGCCTAAAGGGCGAAAAACAGACTCTGGGTAGGAAAGAATCTTGGAGCCATCCAGAAGGCTGAAACGTGTTAATTGATGCCATCAGAAATTTGGGGCGTGCTTGTGGGAATGGACTGTTTTGTGGCGCTTGATGAAAGGAGGGGAAATGTGAGGCTGGACCAGGCTGATCCTCTGTGGGTTCTGCATTCTCGGTGCTTGTGCCAGGAGCTGCCTGGGTTCCAACAACTGATGGGTCGGCCTGTGCAGACTTGGACCCAACACCGGCCCACGCGGAATGGAATTTAAAGGCCCCAAGTCCCTTGGCATCCTGCTGAGGAAGGGATTCAAAGCTGTCTGAAGCTGGGGATACTGGACTGGGTGGGCTCTGTGCCTCCTTCCCACGGACACCTCTAACGATGGCCCTCAGTGAGCCCAGAACGCTTGACCCCAACTTTGAAGAAAGCCTAAGTTGGGAGTGCTGGGTGGAGGGGCTCCCCGACATCAGAGGAGAGGAAGAATGCAGAGGGCTGGGAGGCCAGGTGTCGGCATTGAACCCTCAGAAATTAAGTGGGAGTGGCCATTGTCAAGTTCAGCAGTCTCTGACTGAGGCAGGATCTCATGCTGGAGGGCCCTAAAAAGTTGAATCAAAGGTGACCACTCAAGTCTTACTTGATTTGTATAACCAACAAAACACAAGAAACAAAACAAAGCAAAACAAAAACCAGAAACATTTTCTAGCCCTGGCAAAAATATTTTTTAAAAGTCCTGACTTAGCCACCATGACAGTTCCAGAGAGAAGGATCACCTAACACCCACGCTCGAGTTCGGTTATGGACCGAAAGACCTCGGAATGAAGCACTTGCTACCTGCCCTGGAGGAAGAGCCCGGCTCTCCTGCTACAGAGTGTAATGGGAACAGTTCCCTTGCCTCCTCCAAAGCACCTATGGCCGTTTACCAGGGCCGCTGGGTACTAAAGAAAGAGAAAGACCCAAACCTTTCAGGGAACCTTGGACGAAGACTTGGAACTAATACCAATTTCTTGGGGCCAAGAGTAGTACTGTAGGTCCACCAGTCATGGGGAAAATGGTGTTTTTTTACCTTTGCCCCTGTCACTGGAGGTCTAGTGGGATCCTATCTCTCCAGTTTCTGAGTGATCGTTGGAAAAGATTCCCACTTGGCTCCCTGACCCATGGAGGCCATTATAATAGGAAAGGCCAATAGAATCAATCCAACTGAGCAACTGTTTGGGAATAGAAAATTCAACAATGGTACCACATCTTTGGGGAGGCTGCAGAGATCAGGGCCCCCACCCAAGACCCTGTAGGGTGATGACTCCTGTCGAAACACTGTTCGTTTCCTGTTGGGCTGGTGCAAAATTAGATGGATCTTGGAAAATGACTGTGGGTTATTTTAATCAAGTGGCAACTCCAATTTTAGCTGCTCTGTTTAGACATGTGCTCCTTATTACAGCGCCTGGCGCTAATATGCATCTACTGGGTTTATTCTCTATTCCAAGAAACAGAAACCACTGGAAGCATTTTCTATTAGCTGCAAGGGATAAGTTTTCCTTTACTCTTCACCTCAGGAATACCTCCAACTCTGTATCAGAAAGAATTTGATTCCCTGATTCTTCCTATTCCACATCAAACTGACCACTGCATTGATTAAATCGCACGACTAGGGCCTGGAGAGCTAACCTACATTTTTTGGTTATATACAGAATCGCTTCCTTCAGTTAGAAACATTCATAAAACGTGTGTATGGGAAGAAGGTGTGAGCACGTGGTGTGCTGGGCAGCCACGAGTTGGAATGTAATGGACACCTACTATTTTTTTTTCTTTTTTAGCTGAGCCATCCATCCTGCCGCCTGTTGGCAGCTCAGTGGCAGCTCAGCTCCGGCCGGGAGTCGAACTGCTGTTGCTCAGAGCTCACACTCTTGAGCGATGAACATCTACTGTTTTTATGTATTAACATCCCTCCCCTGTTTGGTGATATCTCATGGCCTTTTCTTTGGGTAACTACCTTTCTTCCATCTCACATCTGTTTTGGATGTTAATCCCTGCCCTCCATCCCTACTAAGGGAGAGGATATGACGCAAGCTAGGCCAATCAGCTTCTTTTCTGGGACTGGGACTGTGAGCAGAGTGATCCAAGGAAAGACGGTGACAAGGCAGATCACTTGGATGGCAGTGTCCTAAACAGCAGGTTCCTGGGTCCTGCTACTCTGGTCCCTAGAGCTCCCCTCATTCCTGTATTTCCTTTTCCTTTGATTGGGTGAACTTCACCAATACCCTTCCGTAGTGGGCTGAATGGTGGCCCCAAAGATATGTCCATATCTGAATCTCTGGAACCTATAAATGTTACTTATTTGGAAAAAGGGTCTTTTTGCAGATGTGATTAAGGATCTTGATATGAGATCATCTTGGATTATCTGGAGGGCCCCTAAATGCCATCATGAGTGTCCTTATGAGAGAGAGGCACTGGGAGAATTGACACACAGAGGACAAGGTGACGTGATGATAGAGGCCAAGTTTGGAGTGATGTACCCACAAGCCAAGAACCAGCAGCAGCCACCAGAAGCGAGAAAGGGCAAAGAGAGAATTGTCCCCTGGAGCTTTTGGAGAGAGTGCGACCCTGCCGACACCTTCATTTTGGGTTCCTGGTCTCCAGAATGGTGAAAGAATAAATTCTGTTCTTTTAAGCCATCGCATTTGTGGTAATTTGTTATGACAGCCACAGGAAACTAATACACCTTCCAATAAATTCATTTTTTTTTCCTTAAGGGAGGGAGTTTCTGTTGCTTGTAGCCAAAGAACTCTAGTTATTAACAGTTGTTCATCACTTCAATTATTGAAGCTAATGAATTACCCTTTTTGACCAAGTTAGTGCCAGCTGGATTCCTGTCACTGGCAACCTGTGCCAAATCTAAGATTGGAACTAGACACGGTGGATTCTGAGTTGCTCCATGCATCACCCCACATTCCCCAATCACCCAGAAACTACGCCAGGCAGCCAGCTCCACACAGGCAGAAACAGGTCCCTGGGCCCAGCCTCTTTATTTGCATAGTGGTTTTCATTGATACAAGGGAGTGGGAGTGAGTTGTTGCTTCTCTGCCAGGACCACACACAACCTCATGATGGACGCAGGCCAGACGATTCTCCCCGGAGCTTTCCCCACACCAGCTTTAGGGATTTGTCTGTGGGGTCAGAATGTCTGGAAGCTAACTGGCTCCTTTGTATGGTCAGCCCTCCTGGTCCGTGCCCACCTGGACGTGACGAGGTGAGCGTGCAGGAGGGCTGGTGTGTATGTGCCTGGTCAATTCATGAGCGGCCCCTTGGCTTAGCTCCGGGCTCTGCTCCAATCTGGAGACGGGACTCCATCTACGTGTGAGGCTTACTACGTGCCAGGCCCTGTGCATGACGTGAGGTATTCACACGTGCTGTTCCCTCTACCTGGAATACACTGCTTCCCTGGAACCCCCGCTGGCTAATTACTGCTTCCCCTTTTGATAGCAGGTTAAACTGTCAATGGCTCAGGAATGTCTTGGACTTGCTCGGTTAATGGTCCCTGTGACATTATACACGCTTCTAGTTCCCTGTACCCAGTAGAGCTCATTATTACATATTTATGTGATGGTTGGCTTAAAATCTGTCTCCCTACTAGTCTGTAAGCGTCACGACACAGGGATACACATATATTTTGCTTGACACTGTATCTCCTGAAACTAGTAAGACGTCAACCGATCACAGGCCAGGTGGGTCAAGTAAATCTGAGCAGTGGTGGGGCTAACACAAGAGCAGCTGTGTGTGGGGCGCGATCGGGAGCTGGAGAGGGCATGCCTCCCCCTAAGGCATTCAAGGTTTAAAAATATACTAAAAATACTACTACACTAAACAAAACCTGTCTTCAGGCCGCATGTGAAGCCCCAGCTTATGGCTTTTCCAGTGGATATTTGTTGAGGGAGTGAAGACGCTACAAGGAAATCATTGTAAAAGCCTCAAAAAGCGAGGAGGAAGAGGGAGACAGAACTGAAAGGATCTCCTTTTCAGTCTTGTCTACACTCTCGAGAGCAAGGTCCCTCCCTGGCACTTTCCTCTCTCCCCGCAGTGCTCAGCGCACACTAGCCATACGAACTGGCTGATCTATTCCACATTTCCTAAATACTTATTCCACACCAGGCCCAGGTTCAACCAGACAGTGTCCTCCACCTTGAAGCTCAGAGTGACGGGACAAACAGCCCATCAGGCAATGACAGTACAGTGATGGATGTTCTAGCGACAGTAGGTGAAATGGGCTATGGGAACCCTTCCTCCCACCTTTTTTGCAAGTAGAGAGAGGACTCAGCAGGAGAGCATACAAGATATGCCCCCAGCAAGGAGGAGGGGGCTGGAGCTGGTCAAAAGGGACAGGAGTCGAGCATGTGTCTGGATGAT